TGAGTTCATCCTTTATCAAATAAAAACTGTCAAACCTGAACAGTACAATTTACAAAACATGACACCAACAGAACTGCATCATCTGAAAAAAAAAAAAAAAAAAAAAAAAAAAAAAAAAAAAAAAAAAAACAAAAAGACAAAAACAGAGACTAGACCCAGAGGTTCATACATCAGACATCCTCCTCTCCGAGACGAATTACACATATAAGCTGACCTATACCCATACACCCCCACTAAAATTAGGTGAAATGTCTTTTAGCAGACAGATTAGTTTTACCTCAACACAGATTAAGGCTGTCAGAAACCAGTATACATGTGTTTCTAAAGGAACACACAACTGTGTCAAAGTTTTAACCATCAAGTTGTTTATACGAGCTAAAGTTGATGCTATCACTACCTTCCTTCGTAGCTGGGACAGTGTTTTTGGCTTTGAACGCCTCACCTCACTTTACATCCTAACTCAGCATTAAATGTTGTAGTGTATTGCTGCCACTTGGGTTTAATAATGGAAAGAAATGTAGTCATAGTTTATGTACAACCAAAGCATCAACATTGAATTTGAACTGAATTTCATGGACGTATCGAGAGTGGTGATGTTAAATACTTTGTAGAATATTCTGCTTCTTCTTATTGAGAAGTGCTGTTTATGTTTTAGAGATTTTGTCATTTACCAGGAAATAAAAAGTAGATTTAAGGCACACCAGGACAGAAACATCTTTGCTTCCACAGTCAACATATATCACTTTCACGTCTGAAGTTACAGAAAGGAGACTTAGTAAATGAAACATCTGTGGTTCTGCTGCACACTTTCTGTCCTGCTTTAAACTGCACACTTCAGTTCACTAGATTAGTTGGCGTGCAACAGTAAATTATCTGATCAGACTTTCTGTAACTCCAGACTGATTACATACAGAATAATTAGCTGATTTAAATTACACAAAATTGTTTGTTTATTCACGGTGATGAGTTCTGACCTCAATCCAGCGATACATTTAAGGGCTTGGCATTTTTAAAGGATTAATATATGAAGCGCTGCCTTTCATGCCAGAGTTTCAAACTAAATTCCTTATTTTGAGGGACGATGAAGTTAGATCAAACCTTGAAAATCTCACAAGATCTGTTAAAGCTTGAGTATGTGTTGTGGATGACTCTCAGCCATACCACATCGAACTGCTTTCCATGTCTGTAAAATTTACTCAGTTATAAACACTCTGGTGTTGGCTAAGTTCAACTGGCTGTGATGGCCATGTTGCACTGGCTTGACTCAAATCAATACATCAGTGATTAGTTTCGGAGGTGTTCATCAAGATCCACCCAGTTATTCATCAAATATTTTGCTAACCAACAGTAGCTGCGTTTCCATTGACCATGAAAATGTGCAAATTAGAATTTTGAAAATAACTTTGCTCAATGGAAACACGTCAATTTAGAAAAAAATATTAAGTTTTTCGACAAAATGTTTTTGCGCTAGGACAGGGCTATTCAACTGGCGGCCCGTGGGCCACATCCGGCCCGCGAGTGACCAAAATGCGGCCCGCCAATTGATTTATTCATCTCTTAAGCCCAGACCACCAGTTTTCTACTTTAGTTACTCTAAGTTCTTTTAGTTAAACATAGATATGTTTGGTATCTACAGAAACATCAGAGTCTTGTCTACAAGCTGGTAAAAACTATTTCTAAGCACACTCAAGACAGTTAAAACTATAAGCAGTTGAAGATGAAACTATGAAAGTAAAAATAAAATTGGTTTAAAAAGTTGGCAAGTCAGAGATGCCAAAATGTTATTTGTGTTAAATAGGAGGTATGATGTGTTATTTTTGTTTTTGATATTGTTTTATTATCACTAAATTTATTACATAGGGTTCTGTATATTATATGCATGATTAAATGCAGCAATATAAGCCATTTCAAAGGTAACAGATCTTTGTTTTATTTACATAGCAACTTTAATTGCTGGATGTTCAGCCCCTCAGCTGTTGGCCTGCATTAACATTGGCCCTTGGAGCAATTTAGTTGAATAGCCGATGAGGTCGTATTTCGGCCGTATCAAAATTAGTGTTTTTCACAAAACTGCAATGGAAACTCTTTTTTTGCATCACGGGAGTCACGTGATCAACAACCGGCTGTTTCTACTGGTGAAAAAGACGATGACGAAAAAGATAACAGGAAGTAGAAGTAGTATAAAATAGTAAACTCACCGACTACAATTTCCCAAAAACACAGCATACGTAGCCGCTCCCAAGTAGGGACTTGTCTCTGGAAAGCCTCGATAAAAGACGCCGACGTCTCCTCTGATGATGAGCGCTAGTGTCGTGGTAGCAACATGCTATGTGTTTACATCCATTGTCACCATGTTTGTAATGACTTATCACGGAACAAACATATTCACGCCTGACTTTAATAGCATTTCTTACTTAATGGAAACACTGCAGTTGCGAAACTGTGTTTTTCGACGTTAACAGAATATCGACAAAGTTGTGCAATGGAAACGCAGCTACAGTTTGTATCAAACCTTTAAAGATCTTGTGTGACCTGTGAGCGCTCTGAAATTCAACATGCCAGATTTTATCTGAATATCAGTAGAACTTAAAGAATTGGGACCTTGTTTTTTCCACACTCACTTCACTTTGGTATCCACCCTCAAACATTAATCAGCTGTAAATATGAACCATTGGTTACTTACTACGTGTTTCATTCAAATCCATCCAGTGGTTCATGAAATATTTAATATAAACAAACACACAAGACAAGGGCAAAACCCTTGTCTTTAAAAAAAGTTTCTATTCCTTACACATTTATCAACTAACATCCCATTATGCGTATTTTTAACTAACCTGCTCTCTGTTATCTGTGTTTAAGTTTAATGTTTTTGTTGGATAAATCTGTTATTTTCTTTTGTCGCCTGCACACTGAGGCTGCATGGCACACAATGTGGTAAACTGAGCTCCTCTAAAAGACATGAATAATCCAGCACAGACACTGTCCTACAGGGACACGATGAGTACATTTATAGTTTGTGCCATCTGTTACCATGACATCACATATGTCCTGATGTAAGACACAATGCATGCTAAAGTAAAACCACAGTCCTACCTCAGAGAGCCCCTACAACACGTCTAGTCTACTTCTCTTTTTGTTATCGCCGTCATCGAAAGCTAGAAAAAAACAACAAGGCCTTTATTTCCATTTTTCATTCTGTTAGCAAAATATGTTATGAAGCCCTAAATTATTTTAACTAAACTCTCAGAAAGTAATGAACATTTAAAATTGAGTACTTTTTGGAATCATTCTAAATGGTCACCACAGCCAGCTAACATTTAGAAATCATAAATAAAGCTTAGCTTTGCCAATTTTTACATACCTGTATATTAATTTAGAATTTGGTGTGCTATTAGTTCAAGGAGACCAATTATGGGTCCTAGAAATTTTTATGGTATGTCTGTGGGCTATCCAGACCATGTTCAATTTAATGCACAAAATAATTCTCAGATGATAAAATTTCCCATTTTCTAGTTCTGCCTGTTCTGACTTCTGTTCAGAAGATCTGTTTATGTTAATGAGCTCTGTTGGTAACGCCCTCCAAAAATCTGTTGACATTAACTCCTCCCTCCAAAGCCAGCGTTTACGTTAGCATGGTTAATAATAGCAGAAGCTCCGTTGTACAACCATATGAGACCCAGAGGCAGAGTCGTGGTCTCAGCTCCTTTTTTTTCTCCCCCTCCTCTGCTCTGCCCTCACTCTGCATGCTGTTACTAGAGCAGGGAGCAGCAGCGGTCAAAATACCTCAGAAACTCAAACAAATAGGCTTTAACAAGGTTTTAATGAGCTAAACAATAGAGGTACATGAGAAAACGTGTTCATAACGAACGAAAATAAATAAATAACTAAATTGTGTCCGTGCTGGTCCCAAACCCTGGTCTCCCACTCTCTGGTCCGACACTCTACCCATTGCCCTATTGAAGGCTTGTTGTGAAATGAGCTGCGTATTGCACAACAACAACCGTGACGGCTTTTTATACTGAGGAGGTGGAACTTCACCCAGGTGAGGGGCTGAATGCAGGTTCCGGTGGGTTGTCGTACGGCTAGAGAAATCACAAAATGACGGCAGTATAAAACTTGTCATTAATATACATTAAAATACATTTACTTACAGTAAATATGCCCCTGGGTGCATTTGTTTGGTCCTAGGACTGTTTCTTAAAGAAGTACATACCCAAAATTGAGTAAAAAAAAACTTTAAAAAGTGAATTTTGCATAATAGGTCCCTTGTAAGAATTGTCCCCAACACACAATTTGAGCTCAACATGTTGCACAAAATATTTGCTTAAAACTAGGGCAGTCAAGTGATTAATATTTTTAATCTGATTAATCCCAAAGTAGCTGTGAATTAATCATGATTAATCTTAAATTTAATATACATTTCTATTGCATATTGATAAAATAAATTACTTGAGTTATTAATTAGTTTTTAATGTTTTTATTTAGAAAACAAAATTGATGCTTAGGCATGATTTTTTGAACATAAAACAGGACCTAAAAATGCTCCTAACATACTTGAGTCAATTAAATTTTGTGCAGAATAATGAGGTTAAATCAAGGATTTTCATTCCAAATGAGAACTACATGAGGAAGGAAAGATAGATACTAAGGTCACAGTTGTCAGCAAAACATAAATAAATAAACTAAAATAAGCCATAAGAAGACAAAAAGAAAAAAACTGTACATAATGTGTTAAACATGGAGTTTTTTTATTTATTTTATTTATTTAACCTTTATTYATCCAGGTAAACTGTTTGAGAACCACTTCTCATTTACAAACATGACCTGGCATGCACGGAGTGCATTGCAATATACAAACCTACATATTCAGCCAGAGTGAAGTCATTGTAAATTTTAATCGCAGTTAATAGCTTTATAAATAAGTTGAATTGAAACTACATTGAATTGAATTAAGAGATACATTTCATTTGTTGTGTTTTTGTTTTGCTGTGTGCACTCAGAGCCTGGCTGTAATGGAGAGACCTGGATGTCCACAGCCAGTGGGGCTGACCCATATCTTGTGCTGCCGCTTCCCAGTGACCATCAGGTGGACCTGGTTTCCTTGGAGACAGACAGTGACCAGGAGGAGGATAGGGAAGAAACCATTGTGTACCTTTGAAGAACACAGCACCCTGCAGAAAAACCTGGTGCTCATAAAGGCCTCAGTTTGGGACTGGATTAGCTTCTAAAGCATTTTCTTTGTCATGGATTTTTTCTGTTATTCCTCTTTTTTATACTAAATAGCATTAATGTAAAATCAGAAGCAGACTGTCTCACATGTGGCGGACACGTCAGCTCCAGTGTCTCTTTCTCTTCTTCTGTTCTTTTCATGTCTGTGTGGTTCCATATTGACCATCTCGTCCCCCTGCAGCCACAGCTTTCGCCCATCCCTGCACCTGCTACTTACCAGTTTTCTCTGGTCCCACACATCTTATCCTATAGGTTCTAAATTTAAAAATGAGTTGTCACTCAGAGGGAAAAACTAAACAAAACACACTGACTGCGTCTCTACAGCAGGTGTCTTTTATTTATCAGAAGGATGTTTATTTCGAAGCTGAGTGGTGAGGAGCTCATGGTTCACAAACACATTCAGAAAGTAGCTCTTTGTATTTTTAACCAGGAGCAGTTCTAGGGGCGGGGCCACAGGGGCATTGGCCCCATCTAAAATCTGATTGGCCCCCTGAAGTGCCCCTGTCCTTTCACTCATCTCTCCTTGTCCAAAAACGACGATGGTGACTGCAGTTCCACTTCCAACCACTAGTGGCGCTAGTGAGTCAAAGAGGAAAGTCAGTTTATTGGAAAAAAAATTTTTTTTACTGACAACCAGTGGTGTCACTAGGCSTATTTTAGGGGGGCTGGAGCCCCACAAAAAATATTTTAAAGCCCCCCCCCCCTAAATTATTT